GGGAGCGAAGGGAGCAGGGTCCCGGGATGTCGGCTGTGCCAGTGGTCCTAGGGTGCCCTGGCTTTGCCCGGGGTAGAGGCGTGGGGATGAGGGAGGAGAAGGGGGTCGGGATCCCATGTGTCAGCGGGCTGCACACCACCAGGGTAATTAGCTAATCTGCCCTGATCCCCTGTATGTCACAGGCTATTAAATTTCAGCCAGATGCCCCTTTGTTAGACCTTGGGAGAGTGGCCAGGCCAAGCCAGAGGGACAGCTGAGGAGCGAGGGCGTCCCCGGGCAGGGGCCAGCAGGGATGCCCATGGCTCGGTGCCCTGGCTGGGCAGGGGAGCTGGACCGCGGGGTGAGGGCAGAGCCATGGGGCAAGCAGGGCCAGGGCTGGAGAAGTCCTGCCATCCAGGCACCCCCCGATCCACCGGTCCATAGCCATGGGTCTTGCCATGGAGGAGCAAGCAAAGATTGCTCTCCATGGGGGGCAGCCAGGAACAGTGCCCCGAGCAGAGGCAGGAAGGAAAAGGCAGCAACCGCTCGGGCAAGGAGGTGCTGGGAGTTGGAGGGACATGGCGCTGCCTCCCTGCTGACCACCCTGACACCTTGGTTCAGCTCTGTGGGGCAATGGGGACACGCTGCGGCTCCCAGTCGATTGCGTGATCCTCTCTGAGGGTGTGGGGGCTCTGGGCGCCTCTCCGGACACAGGCAGGATGCACAGGCTGCAACCTGCGTCTGAGCCAGACCGCGCACAGCCTTTCCCCCCGTCGCTCCCTCTGCTAATAGGATTCTTTCATTAGGAGCTTTTCTGCAAACTGCCAGAGTAATCTTGAGGGCAGAAAGAGGATGAAGCACTGTGCATGCCCTTCCACAAATAAATCCTGCTCTCAGCTGCCTGCACCCTTCCCTGCTCCCAGGAGGGAGCTCTAGGGGAGTGCTGCAGACCGTGCACCCCTGAGAAAGTGGATCCCTCATGCTGTCCCTGCAAATCCCTCTGTCCTGGCCCATGTGGCACTGGCCCATCTCCGG